TAATTATTATGGACTTACGTATTTCCATTAATATTTGTTTTCTTAATTTAATAGTCGCTTGCACTATAAATGACAGAAACTCATAAACTTTGTACATTAGGGTTTTTGAACATATTACTGTTTATTTAATGTACATTACGATATTAAATTATTTCACTAAATTTCGTTCTGTATTTTAAATTGTAATTATATATTATGATGTTATGGGTTTCCTGAAAAGTGAAAACTGCAACATATAGATAAAAAAATAAATACTTTATCAAATCCTATTCTTTAAAAACGATAAAATTGCTTCATAGACATATATTTAATACATACAACATTCTATATTTTATTCAACATATCAATGAACACGTTGGCTACCATGAGGGTTCTCAGGTCCTCTCATGGTTCTCGCTTTAGCGTATCATGACAATTTTTAAATATTTACATGCATGTACCAAATCAATAATTCATTAATTATTGTTGATACGAAAAAATGCTTCAGATGAAAAAAGATTTATTTTGAATGCTTACTAATTATCTATCAATAATTACCTGAGAGAACCCAGGTACTCTCGTGGTACACAAATAATACAATTGTGTATAGGGAACATTGAGAGAACCTAGTGTCTCTCAGTATATATTTTCTTATAATTTAGATTATAGATTGATTATTGCTCCATTAACATTTGTTTTCTAATTTTTTTAATATTTATTTATCATTATCGAATGCATGTGATAACTGTCATTGTGGGATATCATAATAATATTATCATCAAATCACTTTATCATTGCAATACTTATTAATTATGCTACCAAAAAATAAATACCTAATTGATCATAATTTTAAACCAAACCGTCATTTTTTTTAAACTTTCATCATGAACTCGGATGATATTTTAGACGCTTTAGATGACTCAAATTTCAATTACGATTCTGGCAGTGAGTATATACCAACTAGTTCAGACGAATTTTCTGATAGTTCAGATACTGATGTAGATCTTAGTACGTATACTCTAGTTCTAAATACTCCAACAAATAATTCCCAAGATTCTATTTCTAATGACATTTTTTCAAATATTCAGGAATGGGATACTGTAACAGGTATATTACTTTTAAACAATTATTGAGGTAAATGATATCTAATATTCACTTTTATTTTTAGGATTCAATCAAAAACTTTTGACTTTATTGATAATAGAGGGTTGTTATGTGATTTGGGGCCAGAATGTAAACCAATTGATGTTTATAATTTTTTTCTTTGTGATAATATTATAAAAATGATTGTTATTGAAACAAATAGGCAAGCATTAAAGTGCAAACCAAACTGGACTAATACAAATGAGGTAGAAATTAAAATTGTTTTTGGCCATTGTGATGTACACAGGACTTGTATCTTATCCTAAGATATCTGATTATTGGAGTCGGCAACCATTGTTTTACAATACATTTATTCCTAAAATCATACCTAGAAATAGGTTTCAAGAACTACTTAGATTTTTTCATGTTGCTGAAAATGACACTATAGTTCATGATGATAAGCTAGGAAAAATACAGCCTCTGGTTGTAAAATTAGTCAATAATTTTAAAAAGTATAAGGTACCTGGTGAAAATGTTGTTATTGATGAGACAATGATACCCTTTAGAGGGTGTCTTAGTTTTAGACAGTACATACCTAGTAAATCAGCCAGGTATGGGTAAAATTATTCAAAATCTGTGATAATATTGAATATACCTATGATTTGATTATTTATAGTGGTAAAAATACAACAACTACAAGCAATGAAATAACTTGTGCCTCTAAAGTGATGTTGTAACTTATAACTGATTATTTAATATGATTTAATTCTTCAACAACATTCGATTCATTGCATGGTAGTCAATATAGTACCGAGACCCAGAGTGCAGTTTTTTGTATTATTTTTTATACTAATATTGTACCTACTTAAATATTATGCGTTAGAATGAAACTTGTGAAAGATATTGGATATTATAAAAATGAAAGGTTGAACACCGTTTATATATTCTAGTACTTTTCCTCTCTCGCTGTTTCAAAGCACCTTGTTTTTGATTGACTCTATGCATATTATATTAAAATAATAATTAATATGTGGTTTGGTTATATATATAGTAGTCTCAAAACGTATTGAAACAAGGATGTCGATGACTCAATGATCTTCGATCTATCAGCTTCGTTTTGATTTCGTTTCGTTAAAGTAATGAATTCAATGTCACACTTTTAATATAATTTTTTTTTTTATATTGTATTGTGCCTGTCAACTTGAGAGAGAAATCGTGTTTGCATTACTTTTCTATCAGTCACACTAGTTTGTGTAACAATTAGGCTTTAATCTTACAAAAAAATGATTTATACTTAATATACATATTAACGATACCTAAGCAACATATTATAATGGGAAGAGGTTCCTAATTATATTAAAATATGGTAAAATTCGTTGAGGTCATCTCCGACGACTTGGTAAATCGAGTATTTCTCAAAATGACCGGATTACGCTGCCCTAGAGGTATCGTACCGTTCTTATTCCATTTAATTCTACGTTTATACATGGCGTATTTACAAGTATACAAAAGTAAACATTTAGATTGGAAGTGTGTAAATTAGATTTACTATCGTAGTATAATGTTGTGTGATTTTTATTAAAATATGCTAAAAAGTAAAATTATTTTAGCTTTAGTATTTTAAAAATTAAACGATGTAGGAAATTGCGTGGTCATTCCATCCGAAAAAATACTAGAAGTTATCTTACCTCTGTTTATCTGGTTTGAAAGAAACTATAGATAGGTAGAACTTAAAGAAATTGAAGATGAAATGTTTGAAAAGTTCAACGCGAATAAATTTTCCATAAAAATTATAAAAATAATAATTATGCTGAGGCAGCAAATAAGTGGCATAATATTTAAATGAAGTAAACTTATCCCAACAATATGAGTTTCATTGTACGCTTGAAAAAAATACAGTGACCGGGATAAACTTTATTGTCAATTAAAAATTCGTAAAAGTCTTCCAAGAAAAATAAATGTATTGTTTTATTTGTTAATTTATTATTATTACCATAGTAGAGAAAAGGTCCGTTGCCTAATTCTACAAAAATATAAACATTAATTTCGGGTTTAAGACTAAGTTAAATATTCCGAATTTTTGATTGCTTATAATTATTAATGTTATTCAAAATTTCGACTTTGATACTTTGAATTCGGGTGCTAGGTTGATGGGCCTATAGAAATACGAAAAATATCGTAAGTTAATAATTGTTTGACGAGGCATTTTTCATAATTTAGGCATAGAAAATTATTAGTACTTATTGATTTTTATTAAATGTAGATATTTGTTTTTATTTTTAATGTATTTTTAAATATTGAGATATCCAATAAAAAATACATTACATGGAAAAAAGTTATTACGTATCTTTTTATCTATCTTTCCTCAAAGTGGCCACACCGGAACATCTGTGTTTGGTTTATATAGCATAATATTATTATAGTAAAATACTATATTACATTTATGCATAATGTATAAATTTCAACATTTTTCTCCGAGGCGCACGTGGGTATAATATATTATATTATAATATTTAATTTGATTGACATATTGATACGTCCCGTTTGTGTAGGTATAATTTGTACGATTTCGTTACGAGCAAGACGGAGAAGGAAATCGATTTTAACAGTATGTAGGTGTTGAACCCTTTTCCCTTTGTGCACGGAAAACGCAGTGGATGAAAATGGTTGGATATAAATCATAATTTGAACGAGTTTTATGAGAAAGGGCTTCTATATGCAATTATTTTTATCTATTATCTAATTATTTCATTTTTATCAAGATGATTTAATCAAATGTATTTTTAATTCATATATTTATTGATTTATTTAAGTTACTATAAACCATGTTATAATTTTATTTTCTAGAAATATTTTCTACATATTTTTTTTTTAATAAGTATTTTTAATTGTACATATAAATTAAATCAATTAAAATAATACGTCTTTATCATGGATATCAAAGAAATATATAAGTACTTAGTTGAAATTATATTGTATTTTGCGTCAAAGGGCGTAAGTACTATAAAAGAACATGCGGTAGGTTATAAGTCATGATGCGAAAGGGATTAAATCACATAAGGTAAATGTAATAGGTTATAAATCATTAGTATAAATAAAAAATTAAATATATTGAATTGAAAAATTAATAATAAAATATGTATTAGATATGATTATGAATAAAAAATTTGAAAATATTAAAAACATTAAAAGTTAGAAAAGTAGCAATTTTTCGGTTATAGCCCTTTCTCTCTCATAAAAAACGTCTATTTCTGTGGTAGGCATATTGCATATTTAAACATGTAGTTTGAGTTTACCATTAAGAACAATGGTAGATATCAAAAGTTTTATTTATATCTGCTAGTATGATAAATAATCTTCTTTCTACATTTTGAAGAGCTCCAAGTTTTATTTATACTTTGTTGCGTTTGTTAATGAATAGGTACTTAATGTTTTTATGTTCTTTGAATATTTTTTTTCTTTAAATTTATAATAGTATGTATAATATTGTATATTGGATTAGACGGTATAGTTATACTTACCAGTATCAAATGACCATTTATATATTATACACAATAATAAGTATGCGTATAATTTTATAAGTATAAATTGAAAAAAAATAAATACAGTATAAATTGTATATATAAAACATTTTTATTACAACAGTCTTCTTACAAAAGTTTTCATTTAAACAAAAAATCCACGGACTATAAAAAATGTGTAGTATATTATGCTTTAAGTAGTAGTCCAATTACGATTACGTATAATAACATTGAAAAAGTGTATGTTATGCTAATTTTGTGTCTGAATCAAATAAATATAATATTATACTATTTGTAAAAAGTAGTAAAATAATAAAAAAATTTCTCTTGGAGGAGAGGGATTTCAGTTTTTTGTTTTTGGCGAACTTCCCGTTAAAAATTAAAGTAATTAAAATAAAAACAATAATAATAATAATAATTATAATAAGAAAAATAATGTTGGAGTACCTCGATTAAGCGAGCACTTTTCTCCAGATATCATAATGTGTATACATATATATTATATATTATAATATACCATATGATAATGTGTGCGGCGTAATTCCACGAACCGCTCCTCCTGACCATTTCCACCCCCCATCCCCATACACATACATTAACTGTGTCCCTCATCAAAGTTCATCGTGCTTGGGTCCGGTGAACTCGTCGTGCGATATGAACCCATTTTTGTCCTTGTCCTCGTGTTGGAATATCTCCTCGACAAGCTTTTCGTGGTCGGACATCATCTGCTTGATGTCATCACCGCCCTCTGCACCTTCAGCCGCTGCCATCTGTTTTTTCAGGTATTCGCTCACCTCGTCTCTGGACAGCTGTTTGTCTTGGTCTTGGTCGATCTCCTTGAATACGTTTGTGGTGGGTGCCTGGTCGCCAACATTCAATAACTCGACGTCGAATACTAAAGTGGCTCCTATACATATTATATACTTATTATTAGTACAGTTGTATTGTACACTTGGACATAAGATAAATGGGAGCAGGCCACAACATATTTATAAATATCAATAATAAATAATAATACATATTTTAATTACTTAATACTACCAAAAGGCGTTTATAATATTCTAATAACTAGTCGATTCTTGCAAAGGGGGAGAGCGATATTCTGCATTTTCAAATTAGAGTTGTGACGTAACTTGACTCGCTAAAAGAGTTGTTTTCACACAGCGTATAATGTTTTTAGTATAGTTTTATGATATGATATACTTAATTTTTATTTTTTTTTTAAAACCGGTTAGTTAGTTTCGATGATCATAAGATATTTTCTCTAGTAATTTACTCCATGTTTAAAGTAGTAAAACATTACATTTTTTTAAATAAAAATATAATGCATTATTTTTTGAATTTAATTTTTTTTTGAACAACATAAAAATGAACTATACGATGCATCGCTCTCCTGTTTTCACTGTAGTCAATTAAATTTTTTTTCCACTATGAATATATGCCATTATAAGTCATAACCAAAATTCGTATTTTAGAAGAAAATATGAAAAATCTTTTATAGGAAAAATTTATTGTTATTATATTATGTTAATGTCTAAATTACATTATAAAAATCATAGTATATCCATTTAATAATATATTAATATAAAATTGCACGGCTTGTGTATACAAAGATTTTTTGATAAGTTAGAAAAAAATAATTTTTGCAGTCATATAATTAGTACAATTTTTATCGTTATTTTTTTTTTTGTTTTTAAATAATTTATAAAATAACTTTATACATGCAGGATAGAAAACTTATTGGATTTATTACGTTAACCTATGAATGTGTAATTATGCAATTTACTCGTATTATTTTTTTTTAATTTCTCGTATTGTTTTTTTTTTAATTTCTAATTTCAGTTGTCTAAGAACTTTTTTTAAATTACAATTTTTTAAAGTTTTTCTTACGTGTTTTACTTTAGAAGGTATTGCCTTTAAAAGTGTGAACCACTCACACAATTTATCATATAAAATTTATTTATACATCGATTTTGTAAGTGTCTAATTATATTATATGATTACAAAAGTTGGTAATTTTAAGTGCTTTGATACTATTGTAACTCGTGAGTTGTATCTATACATTTTTCACTAAATAAAAGAGGAATACCGTAGAGCTTCATTACAATTCCTTATTTATACGATTTGAATATTTAAGTATTTTTAAACCGCAGCGGCAATAATATATTAAAAATATTGTTATTGCTTTTATAGTAGTAAATACCTCCGGGAATGACATTTCCGGCTCCACGGTCGCCATAAGCTAGATTGGCTGGTATGGTCAGTCTTCTCTTCTCACCAACGCACATTTTGGTTAGTCCCAAATCCCAACCTTTAATCACTTGTCCCACTCCCAATTGGAAAGTGAATGGCTGGTCTCGGTCATGACTGCAAAAACAAAATAAAAACAAAATTGTATTAAAATCTGCAAACTTCATGCATTTTAAAGTGCGTACAATGTATGGAGTATAAGAATACATATAATTTTTTGGTTTTTTTTTCCAGAAAATAGAAATTCGCGAGCGTAAAGGTCGTTGTACGCGCGCATGTCCATAAAGAATTCATCGGGTGCAAAGTCGAGTTATATATATATATATATGTATGTGAAGGAGGTAGTTGAAACACAACCGCGATACCCCAAAGGACCTTTTGAGTCCGTAGGGGCGACAGCGCGGATATAATTAGTATATATATAGCAACGTGGTTGCGGTTGCTTCATCCTATTATATTATGGCCATGCCAAACTTTGGCTATTGTGAAGTTCTTTTTTTGTTTTTCTCCTATTTTTATGTCTAAACTTTTAATGCGCGGACACCAAGAAACGACCACCGCAAGAGAAAATTAAACGAAATTAATTTTCCCGCTTAACCACGGGTCGGAATGTGCGCACACGTAATACTTATATATGTATTCTTGCTGCTGCTGCTGCAGCTGTAGTGTCGACAAACTTAACCTATAGTATTTTTCGATTTTCTTAGAACGTTAATTCATATTATATAATATATAATGGAAGTACCCACACTCAAATAAATAGTAAAGTGGTGAAGTAAAGCACATATCGTATCACACTATGTAAGCAGGAGAGTAGTGGCGGTGCATCTAGGAATAGTAAAAGCACAAAATATGCGTTTATATAAATATAAATTATGTATGCTTGTAGCTTTAAAAGTAATAAGCCATAATACTATACGCATTATATTATGAAATATTGCAGTTATCATTTTATAATATAAGACTAACCATGATAAACAGGAAAAAAATTATGAATTGGCCCCTCTCTTGTATTTGTCAAAATAATATAGATACCCTATAGATGATAATAGATACCCATAAATAATAATTAAGTGGTAATCATATTTATACATAGAATCACATCAAGTAACGTATGTGTGTAACTAAAACAAGACTACTGAATTTATCGAGTGAAGTTCCGATATATATTATATTGTGCACTTTTGGTTGGGGATCGTCGTGTATGTGATGTGTTTGTGTGCAGTATACATTGGATGAATACGAATAGACTGTAATAATAAATAATTTATAAAATTTATAGGTAGTATATTATATATCAATATTAATCACCGCAGCAAAAATCGGATGTGACCGACGACGGACGCGTTGGGGCGCGAGCGTGTGACGTGTGTACACAAGTGAATACCCCTATAACTAGTTTTGCGAGTCGTTAGTTAGGTTGACGACAGAATTACAAATTTGTTTTCTACTCGTGACTATAGATATAGCATATGTGCGAAGAAACTTACGATATTACTTATTATGTGGAAAGTATGTGCGGGTTGGCCTAGTATATATTCACCTACGGGGGAGGAAAACCAGATGGATCGCACTCGTCGCATACCGGATATATTTGTTTATAATTGAACACCGAACAAGAAATTAGGTAACTTTTGCGTGTTTGACCAACACGCTGCATGTGTATATAACGGATTCTTACCATCGTTGATTAAAACACAACTTTCGCGTGTTAAAAGTTTAGAAATATATAAATATATATACGTACATTAGTGATGTATATAGTATGTGTGCGAGTGTGTATAATATAATAAAATTACACGTAAATAATATTACTATGATCTGGGATGGGGCGAGGGCGATGACACATAATAGGATTCGTAGATTAAAAAATAAACAGTTGATAAAGGATAGGAATTGAGCCAAGTGATGATAATCCACAACGTACTATATTAAGTGTTGGGCCGACCCCCTCACATATGATACAATAATAAGTTCATATCTATTACTTCCTATAAAAATACGTACGAGGCTAGAGAGGTAGTTGTTTTTTCCTAGTTTTGAAGGCATTATCATTGCCTTATCCTTAAACTGACAACTATTGTGCGTAACATATATACAAAAAAACCTCGACAACTTTTGTTTTTGTTTTTACTACGAGTATAATATATGCTCCGATGAACATACGGCCACTTCGAAGTTTCTCATAAATTTACTAACTACAATCGTATTTATGTCTTGTAGAACACCGTAGTATTGTGATTCATATCTTTGACAGTAATGACTGGCATTTTGATTATCAGCCCGGAATATCCTACAGCTTGGAGTTTTAAATTTGTTTTTCCAGTTTTTAGAATCGAAATGTTCGAGTATAAATTGATATGTATGTGTTATGTGTGATATATATATATATATATATATATATATATATATCGTATATTGAACTGCATGTGGCGTGTCTCCGACATGAAAGTTAATAGAAGTGCATGTATAGAAGTCGTTATGTTGGCCGGAGGAGGAGTTGAGCGAAAAACCACAAAAACAAACCGCAAAAGGAAGGAAGAAAGAGTGGTTTGACGCCCCTAATATAAGAGAATATTGGCTTTTTGTACACCTCCGAAGAAAAACCCTCAGATATGACGCCACCCTTACTATGGTACGTTATATTTATTTACGTCATTATAATCGTGTTTATAAATTTCCAAGCTATAAATGTCGAACAATATGTATATAATGAAATCTATACATATTATATCTGCTTTTTGTCACGACAGCGACTAGAGGAATTTTGGTAAAATTTTTCGAGTTATAGTTTTTTTGACCATCGTTTTTATATTTTCTTCTTTTCGTTAAAACTTACAATATAATATATATATATATATTTATATAATATATTCACGTTTTATAAAAATGGTTTAACGTATATTTTGGTTTCAAAACTACTGGCAGGTGTCCACAATTATAATATAACGATTAAAAAGTTCTATCGCGCGATTTATATGAATAATTTACAAATACATAATAATATATATTATGAAAAGACTACTCCGTGTTTATTAAAAATGTACAAACCGTTTTCTGTACTTTTTCTATGTAATAATTATTGCATAGTTTATGCACCTATACATTATGATCTATTTTTTTTATCGAAAATAGACGATTTTTTTTTGTGTACGCTAACTTTTAATTTTTTATTATTTTTGCTAAATGCGCGGTTACCTATGATGACACGATTGTATATTTATGTCAGTGTTAGGAATGTAAAAAAAAATTCGATAATTTACTGTACTAAGTGTCTGACAGCATTTAAAAAACATGTTGTCGGCGTTTTGTTCGTTTTTTCTTTTTCTTTTTTCTTCTTTGTCGTCAGGGAGGGTGAAAATATACCACATCAAGTATATATTATATGTATATTATTTACGATGTATGGTATATGCATATTATTTTATGCAAACTGTGAGTATAGAACACCCGCAGGGAATATTGTAATTGAAAAGATTTTTTAGTATTTATTTTTACGCCTAATCACTCTTTGTTTTAACCCTTTAAACTCAGTATTCACAACAACAACAATACAAAATAATAATAATAAAAACTTTTTTTATATCACTGCACATTTTGTGAAAATATAATATTACAATGATGACCAGCTCTTTATTATGTCTTGTACAATTTTCACCGTAACGTCGAGATATTATTACACCCATAATAATGATATTAACCAGTACTTATATTACTCTACACAGGTACCACTTATAATTTACATATATTATCATATATTTGTATTGTGAGCATAAAATAGTCCAAAGGGTATAATAATATTATGACAGTAGTAACTATAAGTAATCGTATAATGCCATTATAATACATTTATTGAATTATTAAAATTATTATGAATTTAAAAAAAAAAATTTACTTATAATTTGAAATGTAATGTTTATAGTTTTGAGAAAAAGTTCGTATTTTCAAAATAAATAATTGTGTTGTTAGCCACGATTGTTTTTAGAATAAAACTGTTTGTGTTTCGTTTTATATTTATTTTTTTGAATTTAAATTATTATTTACAAAGAATATTCCTAGTACAAATGTATAATAAAAAAGTACTTTGGAGTATATATATATATTAATATTACAATCGTTAAAAAATTTTTGAAATGACGAGTATAAAAAAAACCTCTACCAATTTTAAATAATCAACTTCACAGTCGCGCGCAGATACACGTTTCTGCAATAACCATCGCAACTTTCGTAATTATAAGAAAGAAAATCCAAAAGGTTGTAGACGACGTGTACGAAAAAAAACATTTACCTTAAATAGTACCACAAGCGGTCGTTTACAAGAAATAAAATAAAACCACCGATAATTTCTTTACAAAACTTAGTTTTCGAAATTATTGCTCTTAAATTATAGCACGTTTTATTTTATTTTTGAAACTTTATAATATATGTATAAGGCCGCAAAAACTAATCAAATTATTTTAGATTTAAATAATATTTTATTAAGTACGGACACCAGATATTTAAAACCGACGTACCCTGCAGTAATTTCTGTACGTTGCCCTGTTCACGCATATAATATATTGACTGCACATAATAATTCATGAAACTAAAAACAGCAACGAGATATAATATTACATTATTCATTATTCGACAATGTGTCGTTATTCGTATTCATATTGTATAAATTATGTAATATTCAATAAAGTCTTGAGCGGTGTATTATATGAATTTAATTATCTCGTATGTCAGGTTAAAATATTTAATTAACGTTATTTATTTGCATGCGAAATGGTTTTTTTTAAACTAAACTTATAAAAAATAAACTTATGAATTATAATAACTTAAAGTTTTAATGATTCTTCAAGTATTAAATATATTCGATATATAGACGATATTACTTAGAGTTAAAAAGTCTATAATGATTATCAAATACAAATACGCATTTATAAAAACATTCTTTCAGTCAGTGTAAAAAAAATATATAATATGTATAATTATTATATATTTTTTAAACGAGATATTTTAAATACGTTTTTTTATTAAAAAAAAAAAAAAAGGTAAATGCATATATTGTTATTGATTTCATAAAGTTTAAAAAAAAAAAAATATATTAAATCCATTATATATATAAAAAAAAA